AAATAAATTTCGTAAAAATAAAAATATGTACAACTTTATGGAATTTTACGTCTATTCACACCATTTTTTTTCCCCTAACCTTGTGACTGAAATTTGCTTTTATTTCAGTTGGGTCAATGATTTCATTTCTTTTAATAAAATGTGTCTCTGGAGATTTTTCACATCACAATTTTCGTTTTTACATTTTACATTTATTATTGACTTAGACATAAAAGGGTTGTGGATGGAAGAATTGAATTGGGGGTTCGTTAAAAATAACACCGAAATAATATAACCCTTGTTCGATGAAAATTGAAAAAAGGTTTTTAGTATATTTTGATAAAAAAAAATAATAAAACATGTGGTGAAAAAATTGTAAATTTCGTAAAATATGTAATTATAATTAATTATGGATCGAATTTAAATTTTAATTTAGATTTTAATATCTGCATGTACATAATTACCACGTTGAACTCGATTTGTGGTTATAACTTATAAGTTATATATCCACGCCAACAAACCCCGCTCCTTCCAAGAAACATCCTATTCTACTCTTGTTTGACCAAACAACATGTGTCTTCTCCCTATTGGATTGAAACAAAGGCCCCGCTGTACTACTGTTGTTATTCTATTAATATATACCCCTAAATCTTCGCCAAAACTTTGCATCTTCTGTTAATGGGCATAAGATAAGATTGTTTTGTATTTCCTGATTTAAAAGAGGAATTGTATGATTGCTGGAAATGGCATCCGTATGCGTAAACAATATCGGAATTTCGCAAGAGAAGAATTTCCTGGACTGTTCTATGGCTAACTATCCATCGTATGGATGGCCGAGCCCGAGAATCTCGTTCAGTCGCGAGATTCCCGATAAAGAAGCGTCAAAAGTCACCGGAGCTGCACATTCAGCCGCATCGGAGAATGTAGCCGTGGAGAAGCCGGAAGAATCGGATACAAATATCTCGGGGAATGACTTCGTGGATTTCGAGTTCCGACTAGAGGATCCAATCAACATGCTTCCAGCCGACGAGCTCTTCTCTGACGGAAAGCTTGTACCTTTACATCTCTCTACGATCCGGCATTCAATGAGGGCCGCACCATTTTCATCTGAGGTTAAATTGACTGACTCAACCAAACTTCGCCGGACAAATGAGAATTCCGTCACGGATCCGTACTTATTTTCACCAAAAGCTCCTAGATGTTCGAGCCGCTGGAAGGAGCTCTTAGGGTTGAAAAGAATCTCTCAAAATAGCAGCACAAAGAACGAGGAGAGCAAGACGACGCCGTCACTGTCATGCAAACATAACAAAAACACTGCCAGAAGCTTGAAACACTTTCTTCAGCGAAGCTCAAAGTCATCGTTAAACGCCTCCATAGATTCATCTTTAAGCCTCCCATTGCTAAAGGATTCGGACTACGAATCTGTGTCGATTTCTTCTCGGCTCTCGCTTTCTTCTTCTTCTTCATCAGGCCACGAACATGATGATTTTCCAAGGCTTTCTCTCGATTCCGATAAACCAGGTATGAGTCATCGTAACTCCCGTAATCATTCCAGAGTCCGTGTTGTGAACGCGCCGGCCAGTCGAGTGGGACGGAGCACTATGCGGAGGGCCCCTGAAGCAACTGTCCCAGCCCGTGGAGTTTCCGTCGATAGTCCTCGAATGAATTCCTCTGGAAAAATCGTTTTCCAAAGCTTGGAGAGAAGTTCAAGCAGTCCAAGTAGTTTCAACGGTGGGCCCAGATATAAATACAGAGGAGTGGAGAGGTCATATTCAGCTAATGTCCGCATCACTCCGGTTCTCAACGTACCGATTTGTTCACTTCGAGGGTCTTCCAAATCTGGGGTATTTGGTTTTCCATTATTTTCTTCACAACAGAGAAAAGAAGGTGGTTGTAGCAGCAACAATGGATGTGGAAACAGGGGACAGAGTCACGTCAAGAACCGCACAGATCGAATTTGAGATAGTAATTTTTTTGTAATAGTTAAACCTTTTTTGTCCATTCACTTGGATTTTAGGTTTTCCGATGCTTTTTTCAAATTTTGTCGAGGCAATAGTGCATGGCATTTTACTCCAATGCTAGATTTTCCTTCCATTCTTGATTTCATTTTAAGGTTTTTGTTCTTCCACAGTATTGTTGAGCATAACGTACATTGCATCCCCGATCGTGTTCATTATTAATATTTCTCTCAAGAAAAAATACGTAACTACAATACTTTAATTATACAATTTCACATTTACTTATTTTGATCTCATTCTCTTTTTCTATTTTTACTTATTTTGGATTTGGTGAATTGATGACAAGACTTGAAAATATTGAGAGGGTGCCCAGCGAGTCTTGTTTTTTTTTTTTGTTTGGGCCAAATTCATATAGTGATAGGTACTAAAAATCTAACCGTTTGTTTAGCCCAGCAGTCGGTCTAGACCCTCCATAAATCAGAATGCAGGAGGGAGCTCAGCTACCATGTGTGATTGAGGCAGGGGGGAGTTATAGCAGAGCTTCAGTTGTCGTTGTCCAGGCGGGGTGGGTCCCAGTTCATGGAGTTAGATATTTACCACAAAACTAGTATTTCTCCTTTTGAGTCTCTTGATTAGTGTAAAATTGTATGTCCTTAACCATTGGAAATTTGCAAGACGTTTCTCAACTTTTTATTAAGTTGTACGATTAATTGATAACGATCTAAGTCATTAAGTGACTCTTTTGGTAGCGCATGTATTGAGAACTCAACGAAAATTTAGATGGTTGGAGGTTTGACCTTACGATTTTGCCACGAGACGTGCTTTTTTAAAACTGTATGCGAATATATAGAATATTTGGGTTGTGGATGGTGGGGAGTTGCTCTTTTGAATTCCATATCTTGACCGTCCAAGCAAACATTTTAGCTTATTTGCATTGAATGATGAGTTGTTTGAGCTGTGGTTTTACAGGCTTGGTTGGTTCCCATCTTATCGTCCTTTTTAGTGCAATTTGGGACTTTTTGGGTGATTGAGCAATCAATCTTGCTTTTCAAATATTGGCTTTAGCACTCTAATTTTGTTTTTAATTCAGTGCTGGGAGGGAGCAATCAATCAATGTTGTTTTGAAATCCTTCAAGCTACCATAATTACTCCCCATTATATCTGCCTTATATACTGGATTTGTCTTTTCACATATACTTTCTTTCCTATAATTTTATACCAACAAACTAAAAAAAAAAAAAAAAAGACAAGGAAATTTGCAACAAAAGCTCCCAACCTTTTAAAAATTTACAGGGTGGCTCCAAACCTCTAAATCGTAGTAGTTACATCCTAAACCTTTCAATTCAAATCTATTAGCGGACTAAAAGTTGAACTCTTGCTCTTCTGATCAGTTTTAAAATGGCAAAATGATCTTTTAACATTTAATTAATTAACTCAAAAGAAAAATTGCATTAGGGGTTTTAAACCTTAAACATGTACGAGGTAAAAAATCTTGAGCCATGCTAGTGGTATATCGGGGTGTACATCACGGTGTACACCCCCCACACATGGGTAAGGGGCCCACTTGAATATTTTATTCGAGAGGCCCCTAGATCGGGGTGTACATCACGGTGTACACCCCCCTCACATGGGGAAGGGGTCCACTCGAATTTTATTCAAGTGGACCCCTCTATGTGAGGGAATGTAGACCTTGATATACAATTTTTGATGTACATCTAGCATTTTTCAAAAATCTTTAAATTGTAGTGAGGACACATGCCTCTCATAAATGTGTGCGAGATTTAATGTTTTCATTTTTAAAATCTGTTTGTTGATCAAAAGTCGAATGTCTGACCTTCTCCAAAGGAACCAAAGCCACCACCATCACGAGGAATCATCAATCAAATTGCGACCACACCACCAAACAAACCACCCCCTCTCACCCCAGGCCCCATTCTCTTGTATTACAACCACATCATTCTAATTAGAGTAATGTTATTCATCTTTATTGGGGTTGAATTTCAGTCAATGTGGCAATTATATGATATTAAATGATATATTCATTTAAATACAAAGTTACATGACTCATTTAATTGAATCAATCATTTAATATCATGTAATTGCCACATAAGTTGATGCTCAATCCCGTGGGATGAATAGCATTATTCTTCTAATTATTTTTCAAGTAGCATGTCATTGGACTTATTCTAGCCTTCTTTTGAATAGTAAACTTGTATCATCAAAAACTCACAATCGAATATATTTCCCTTCTAAGTAAGACCTTGAAATTAGTTGAATGTTAAATTCAAACAATCATCATTAAATGCTAGGTTAAATAGATTTTGTCGTTCATAACTTAATAGTCTTGGGTGAAGGTAGGGTAGGGTGAGATGGGACAGCTTGGGGATTTGGGAAAGATAAATATTTTGTAATTGTTTTAACTAATTAAATTTGAAAAGATCATTTTGCAACAAAATTGATCAAATTAAAGTCGAACGTTTGAGTTCTGGTCAATTGACAGACTTTTGGATGAAAACGTTAGAGGTCCCTTTAGTGTACACTTATTATAAAATTATAGACGTAGCAGTTACTATTTAAAGATTTAGAACCGCATTGTACATTTTTTTGAATGATTTAAGACCTGTGTTGCAAATTTCCCAAAAAACAAATAAAATATTAGAATGACATATTTTATTGAAAATGTGATGGTACTAGAATCAATACATGATGAGTAAAAAACGTGCTCCTGAACTGTGGCTTCACTGCTCATATTCCCAATTACCCAGTAGCTTATCGTCTTTCCAATTATACATGCATGTGACTAGATACATACAATACATACATACATATTATATCTTGGAGTAGGGTGGTTTAAAGGAGGTTGTGGGGGGCTAGGATGACAAGGAAACATTCTTGTCTTAGCCCGAGTCTCTCTTTTTTTTTTTTTTTAATTTATTTTCACTTACACATTTTCTTATAAAATAGTTATACAGGTATTTTAAAAATATTTTCATACTTTTTAATGACACGTTCCATAATACATTTTACCCATGGGCGGACGCAGGTGTGGCATGCGAGGTCAACTTTGCTCCCTTTTTTTTCACCATTAAATTTTCAATGTTTTTATTTTAATTTTCGAAATCATTATGGGATGTGAAACGAAGTCGAAATATTGCATTCTTAACATCATTTCAAAATGCTCACGGTCTAGTTTTCGATAATATGCTAACTTTATAAATTCTCCAACGATTGTACGCTAATCGAATTTACAAATTGCTTATGTCATTTCAAATATTATTTCGAGAACTACATTATATGTATATCGAATAATCCAAACAGATATCGAAAATAGTTAAAAATGCGTTAAACGTGAGTTTTAAAGAAAGAAGTCTAACTTGCATTTTCTTTTAAAAAATTCAATTATTTCATTAACATTTATTATTTTTGCGATAAAAATATCTCAATGTAATTTTCATCATTTTATTAGGAAATTTTATATGAAATATGATATCAAATTTTTCTGAAATTTTACATTTGAAAAAAGTCATATTTCATGTAAATTTTCAGATGTAAAATTACATGGAGTATGATTTTTTTGGACGTAAATTTTCGATCGTAAAATTTCTTCCAACTTTTTTACAAGTTTGATTGTACCTCCTAACTTTAAACTTCTGCGTCCGCCGCTAATTTTACCCCCAAAAATGGAGATCAAAGAGGGTGTTAATCCATCATCCCCATCAGAATCTTCATTTGATTCACGAATCCAATTACTAATTAATATAACAATTTTTCATTATTGGTCTAATGGTCTTCAGTCAAGTGTTCCTCTATCGAGATGATATACATATAATTAAATATAGCTGCCCAATCAACCAACTTGAAAATCTGTTTAAATTTCTATTAAATCGTAATATAGCTCTCTAATAGAAACATAAATCACTTCAAATTTGTGAAAACAAGTTCAATCAAGAATCTAGTTTTATGTAGGACAAAGGTAGTGAACTGAGTAGGATAAAGTGAAAAATATAATAGCATCTGGATTCGTGCAGGCTAAGAGGCCCTATATAGTCTTTCTTTTCCTGGGTTATGACTTATGACTATTCATATTCATTTATTTATTAAAAAAAGGACGAGCCGCATCATTGACGGTCCCCACTATCCTGCCCTGGATCTTGATTAATGAGGTAAATCGCAGGTTATACCTTCAACGGTACAGGGTGGAAGGCTCCGTGTACACTTACACTACCCAAGGGCCAAATCCATATTTCAGGATTCGAACCCTTGACGCGACAGTTTCAAATAAAGTTGGAATTTTTCTACTTTTCCTTTTATCACTTGGAGATGTGTCATGGAGGCCTATTCATATTCATGTTGCAAAGGGTTCAACAACAACATTTTTCTTCGAAATCTGCTTGTCGGAGTTTAAAAGATTTTGGAATTTTTAGATTGTTTCTCTTTAAAATTGGGAGAAAAGGCCGTTTCATACATAAATAAATAAATATTAAGAGAGAGATAATAATGTTTGGCTTTGGCAGCACATACTGAAATAAAGGGATTAAAGCTGCAGTATTTGTCTTGTCCGTAGTGTAATATCCTCCTACTGCGCCATCGCAGTCGCTGTCACCAACCCAAAAACAAAATTGATTTGAAGGTTTGTTTTTAAGGGAAAGGGCGAGAGTGATGAGTACACTTTGGTGGGTCCCTTCTCTCATCACTATTTCTTTACCAAATTCCAAATTCATCACGCCATATTTGTATTAAAATCAAATGGCATGTGATAATATTCACATCAATCAGAGCATTGGAATTTACCCAAATGACGAAAAAGTACTGAACCCATTCATTGAACCCGCCACAGCATCGAACAAAAGCCCAACCATCCGTATCAATGCAGTCAAATTTTTTAAATACATCCGTACATTGATAAAATATAAATCAATTTATAACGATTTGGGATACTCTTTAGTACTATTGATATTTTAAGATGAAATTTCAAATCTTAACTACTGTTTGATTCTGATTAA